TCTCCCCCCCCCCCGATCCCCCCCCCCTTTTTTTTTTTTTTGCTTATGCCTACTGTATTATGCCGCCCACTGTAAGGGCGAACTGTTGTCTTTTACCACTCCTATTCATGACTGTTCATTGTATGCTGTATGCTTTAAAACCCAATAAAACAAATTGAAGAATAAAAATGTTAACACCCAAAAGTCATACATATTTTCTCCAAGACCCAGTTTTCTAACTGGATTCATTTGAAAAAAATTTGTGAATCCTGGGTGAAATGTGTGTGAATCTTGTGTAAAAACATTTATAACTAGACCCCTACGTGTCTGGATTTGAAACATTAATTTTCATATCAATGCCAAATGAGACTCCCGATTGTTTTATACCAGATTACTAACACTAAAAAAAATAAAACCCACTGCAAGTATCATGAAAGAGTACCTCTGTTGCTAAATTCAAAGTGTTAAAATAGTTTCTTGTAAAGAATATAGAACGCACATTCCCACTGCCCATGCTGCCTAACATCTAATAAAGAGAAATCCTCCCATGACATCTCTTTAGATACTGATACTTCCAGGAGTGTCGATCTTCTGGTCCCCCGCTGCATTCAGTGGTTAATCCCACCGACACCCATGTCACTGCAGCACACAGTAGCGATGTAGGGGTAAACCCAACGAACCACTGACGCAGTGGGGAACACAGAAGATCATCTCCCATAAGTGTCGGTATCAGAAGAGACTTCACGGGATGATTTATCTTCATTCCAGCTGTGTTCATTGCGCTGGCAGCGGCAATGGTAAGCATCTACTGTCCTCTATAAAAGGGAACTATTTTCTTTACACTTACAGTGTAAGGGCCACAAAGTGCGTTCCAGAGCGGATGGTCTCTGGAAAACACTGAATCAAATTCCATCTTGCAGTATTTTTGGAGATCGTACTGGACTAATGTGCCACGTGTTCTGATAATCACACTGTGGGTGGGGGTGGGGGGGGGAGCCATTGACTTCAATGCACCCCCACGCCCCTGAACGCAGGGAGCTGTGGTGTGAACTGGCCCTAACAAAAGAAGTAATTTTAAAGTGTAACATTATATTTGCTGAGAAAAACAACAAAACAATGCTTGCCTATTTTACACATTACAAGGATCAAGGATTTAGGTCAGGGCTGGCCAAATCCCAAGAGCCAGGCAGCTGACACTCCTTAAAAATTACAGCTGGCGCCTAACTTTGAGGTTTTCTCTAGTTGTTGTCAGTGGAGAAAACTCTAAGCTCTGCAGATGGACAGCAAATATGACAGGGAAAAGTCCATCTCTTTGAAGATGCAGCTTACCTTGAGGGCATCTTTGGCATCCACCATTGTCAGGTCTTGCAGCAGCCATGTGGTCTGGGTCTTATAGAAATCCCCTTTGTCAGATTTCTTTACTTTCACCACTCGAACATGAACTGGACGCTCTGTGGTTACTATAGAAAAGAGAGAGCAATTTTCTTCCATGTATCATAGGTCATAAAAATCACAATGTATAAAAAAAACCCAAAGAATTCTGATATCAAGAATGGTAAAAGGAGACTCATCAACACCTAAGATTTCACACCTTCCACATGCATTGTTTTGAGGAAATACGATGGGCAATATTGAGATTAGATGCTTGTTAAGGGGTTAGTCCTCGCAAAAAATATATTTTTGGTATAGGTGGGGCCCGGGGGGGGGGGGGAGTCTGCCCCTGGCTTCTTACATGTCTTGTATATTCTAAAGACAAGATCTCCCTTGCTATAACTCCCAATTCTGAATCTGTCAAGCTCAGAGTTCTGGGTGCTCCAGACTAATGTTACATGTTGCAGCCCCTCTTTCTGCATTCCGCATAACAGAAATGAATGAAAAGTCTTAAAGGGACCCCTGGAAATGGCCATGACAGGTATACAGACCCATGAATCCAAGTACAGATATCTCACCAATACAGTCCAAAACAAAATGTATCCCTCCCTACCTCCCATTTTGATTTGGCTATGGTTAGCTTTATTCAGAACACACACACTTGAACTTCTAACACCCCCTTTCTGTCTCCAGTTTATAAAGCACTGTAGGAGTATCAATGAGAAAGAGGCAGTTGACAAGTGAGCAGCTACTGTTGGACTGTCTTCAGTGTCACTGAAACACCATATATTCAATATTTTTTCCCAAAAAGAAGTTTTCATAAAAGTACCGAAATGGCAACATAATAGATCTATAGATTTGTAAGGAAATTAAAAAATTGCATAGAGTGTGCGTCAGAGTTGTGTTAGTGTGCTATTAAAAATGAATGCCATTGTACTGGAGAGGTGTATACGGGTTCTAATGAGACAGCACTGTGGGAGCAAAACGCTCAAACACTGAAATCCCATTATTTCCTATGGTTATGGTTCACACCAGGGCGTATTACAGGCCGTATGAACGCGCTACAAAACACCCTACGCCCAAAGAAGTACAGGAGCTTCTTTGGGGCGTTTTTGTTGCGCGTTTCGATTGGGATACAGCCAAGTAGCCCTCGGAAACGCGCGTTTTTTTATCGCGACAAACGCGCATATTTAATACACCTCCTGCGCTGGTGCGGGTCTCGATCCAGCGCTGACTCCTCTGTCCGCTTCTCTGATGTCTCACGGTGTCTGTGCGGGTGCACGCTGCTCCATAGACTAACCTTGTGTCTCTCCTCGTCTCCCGGCCGAACATCTGAAGTGCGCATGCGCCCGCCCCAAGACTCTTCAGATGTTTGGACGGAGCGCGCAGCGAAGACACAGGTAAGTATTAACCCTTTTTAAAAGGTTGTTTTTTAAAATATTTTTGCATATATCTACTGCTTGCTAGTAGATATATGCAAAAACACGCGAGGGTTTAATAACCCTTTATATGAGTGACACTATTTGAAAGTATCAGTTGTTAAGGTCTTGCGTCCTTTGATATCAATAACTTCTAAACTGTCTACCTGGCCCCCGAGATTGACCAGCAGAATCTGCTGTGTGCATGACGGAGAAAAGAAAGACAGCATACAGCAACTCCTGGATGTCCTGCAACTTAAAGTGTTAAATACACAATGCATACAATACAGCCAACCTTACATTACTAAGTGCTTTAATTGCTTAGGAAAACCATAAGGCAATTGCAGTTAAGTAAGCAGTTCCTGCATTAGCAGCCATTAGTTACTTTGTAAGCTAACTGTCCATCTAGATTGTCTGCACCTGTTATACGAATCCCTCGCCTACCTGTGAAATCTAATGATGGCAGAAAACACACAATCACAAATGATGTATAATAAAACCCTATTCTATGTGCTATTACTGTGTGTCACCAGATCAGGATTGTATTTCTTCCTAAATTGCTGCAGGGTGGGGAGGAGCGATGATGTTCTTCATCGACATCCCTTTAAAGTGAACCTGTCTCCAGTAGATCTGTAGAGGTAGGGACCATCGGTTATGTGGTTGGAGGAATTTATTATTGGACCGCGGTGATGCGATGACGTCGCTGCGTTTGTGCTCAACTGAGACCTATAAGTCACTCTGCCGTGGTGGCAGATTAAACTTGTAGTCTTTTTATTCACAGATCAAGTGAGTGGGTCTATGAGTGAATGACACAGTTGTGTGGAGCCATGCACAGCCACAATAAATTAAAAGAAAAAAAACAAAAGGAGGCAGCGAAGAGAAGAACTCCGTGATTGAATAAGGGGGTGGTGGTTTGAGTATAGAAGGCCTAAATTTGGGTGTAACATGAAACATGGTCCAAAACACGGACTCAGCCTTTAATAAAATGATATTTAAATACAGAGGGACGTAGAGTATTAATTGACTTTTGCTTTTCAGCCACCGGGTTTCCACATCTGCTTCCAGAAAGGTGTTGTACTCTTCCTGTTTAATATTGAAAGTATTTGGTACTATGGAGAATGCAAAATAAGTGGAAACACGTTGTGGGAGGGTAGGATCCCCGCACACAAATTGGGAATAAACAGAACCAGCACCAATGGCAGAAAGATCAACTGGAGTCCTTAAAAAACATATATGAAGCCAAGAGCAAGATTAAAGAGCACAATGATACAATATTAATTCTACAAATAAGAGCAGCAGACAAGTACAGATGGCCAGATGTATGATCAGTGATGGAAACCAAAGTCATATGGAGGCCCTAACAACGTGCTTTCCTAAGCAGTTTTAGCTCAAGCTCAACATGGCCTGTAAACTGCCGTTAGTGAGACACAAAGCTAAACCCATGTGGCATGGTACATTCCTATTGCCCAGGCACGTGGGAGGCATTTAGTGGACGTACCCTTTAAATGTCCATGCTAAGAAGCTCATACATGCACTCTTGTATTGACTTACCTGTGGCACATAAAAAGCAGTTTTTCTTCTTTTTTCCCGCTTTGCATACGTTCACGATACTGAGGAGACGCTCATCATTTGGAGTGAATATGTCCCTCTGCAGGGCATGCTTGATTGCAGTCATCTTGGCAGAATTTCTCTCACATCTATGCCATGCTGTAAAACAAGGACGAGATCTTAGTCTATCAGCTGTAATCTGTTCAGACATTCAGTAAAATGGACAGGAGGAAGAATGTATGAAATACAAGTGGAATGATGTCACCACATTTGTATTCCATTCAGATCTACAAGTCCCCCTGCTGAAGTAGCTGATGGGACTTAATTTCTGTAAATGGATGACACGGCTGTGGGGGGGGGGCAGGATGGGTTATCCATGTGACCATGTTTTATGTTACACCTTGAATATGAGTGTAACATGAAACATGATCTTAAAGGTAAACTTTAAAAAGGAGAACTATGAGGTAAGTGCTTTTCACTCACCTCATAGTTCTAGCCGACCTGTGACAATGAAACTGTCACAGGTCGGCTCAGTAGATCGGGAAGTGAGCGAACACATACCGTCGCTCGCTCACGTCCCTGCAGAGAGCCGTGACTGTCACTCACGGCTCCCTGCAGGGATTCCCCCCTCCCCGCTGACTGGCGGAACGGACAGGGGAGGGTGCGCAGCTGGGTGGATCTCAACAGTAATGTCGGGATCCGTGTTGGCTGCGGCGGTCTCAGTATACCGCGAGCTGTAGCTTGCGGTATACTGAGCTTTGGGTGGCGGGAGGACGCTAGTTTGTGTCCTCCCGTTACCCTTAGGAGAACTATGGGAAAAAGCACAGACCCCATAGTTCTCCTTTAAGCCTTTAAAGCGGACCTTTACCTATAGCTTTGAAATAACAACAAACACACCTTTAGAAATGTTTAGTAATGACAATCTACAAACACATACTTCTTTGTATACCTTATTTCTCTTTTCCTTCCCAGTCTTCTGATAGCGGACGCGTTTACTAAAATCAGATTACTAGATCTCCCTTTACTTCCCGGAACTCTGGCACATGTGACCATGCACATCATGGGAGGAAAATGCCTTTCCCTGAGCTCTCCTGAGATTACAGATGAAATTTCCCGGCAATGCTCTGCTAAAGTAATCTTCCCAGGATGCAACGCTTGGGCACATTACATCATTTGTGCCAGAAGTGGACCAGGAAGTAGATGAACTCTATTTGTAAATAAATGAAAAACAAATGTGTTTACCTAATGAGTGTAAGATGATTTTATATCAGCATGCAGAGCTGCATGCTGATGTGATTTTCATTGAAAGGGGGTAGAGGTCCGCTTTAAGGGTAACCATACAATTAGGGCTGCAACAACAAATTGATTAAATGGATAATAATCGACTATGAGAATAGTTGGCAACATTTCTCAACGGTTGGTGAGAGAGAGATTTTTTTTAAATGCAACCAATCGGTTCAATTTGATTCGCTGCAACGCGACTGATCTCATTGTGTTCAGGAGGCATGTTTGGGTGCAATTAAAATGAATGGCAACGCAATGCACCCCCTGCACTGTTAACAAACGGTAGGTGTGTTGTACAGACACGTGCAATTAACACACGGATTCGTTGTGAACTCATTATCCAATCACGCAGCATTTGATCTACATACCTATTGGTAGATCTGAAGGAGATTGTAATTTGTGTGGTGAGCTTATGGAACCAAAAAAAAAAAGTTATCTCCAGTGAGTTACCTGTGCAGACCGGTCCAGTTTACTGTACAATTCATTCATTTGTATAAACCGGATACTCCAGCAACGGCTGTACATCAGTCCCGCTGTATGAGAGCTTCAACCCTCATACAGGGAAGTGACAGTGTATAGCGTCCACCCTCCTCTCCCCTCCGCTATTCCCTTGAGGACCCTTTTACCAAATACCTGGACCCCCCTTTATGCATATAGGTCCATAAATAAAAGGTTTATACCTCAACTGAATACAAATAATGGTACATACCTCAACCATATACATACATTTTATGCATAGAATGATCGCTATGAATTCCACACGAACAGTAAACAGCAGACATACACAGATTGTAAGGAATTGTATGAACAATAATAAAAGCAGTGATCCATGTTGTTGTTGGCACTAAGCAGTCAGGATGAGTGGAGGGGAAGGTCAGCCAATGTAAATACACAATACAGAGGGTGACCACACATCCTGTCACTGCTCCTCCTGCACATTACAGGGGACCCCCGATCTGATCACACATATATATACACAGTCTGCAGGCCGGGCCCGAGAATATGAAAGCTCTGACCAGCCGCACTTTTCCAAAACAGAGATCGTACACGCAACGCAGCCTCACTCGCCACCCTCATCGTTAATTATACCCGCCCTACACTCACCGATCTCCGCCTGGACCTCCCGGTGACACCGCTGTCTCTTCCCTGCTGCTCTCAGTCACCAGGGCCGGGCAGGAACAGCCACAGGACTACATTTCCCAGAAAGCCCTTGCGAGCGAGGAAGTCACCATTCAAAAGTAGAAAACTTTATTAATTGTCAGGCAGACACTTTAGCTCGCAGTGCAGTGCAATTTTGAGATAAATCTAGTCCTAGCAAAAGTTTTTTTGTTGTTTATTTTTGTGAGTTCCACAGCTTTTGTTACACAAGATTTTGTATTTTAGTAACACCTACTATGGTTAAAGTAAAGCATTTCTAATATTTCACTTATTTAAAAAATACAATGTTTACATATGGATAGCGTGAAGACGAGGTTTTTTTAGGGTTGCCACCTTTTTTTAATCGAAACCCGAACACTCTAGCGACGCGTGGACATTTTTTTGGGCGAATGAGTCGCAGGCTATTCATATATAAATAGCGCCACCCATTAATATGTAAATATCACAGTCGAGACTATATTCAGTGGAGAGCCAGTAGCCTTTATCTTAATTTTGGTTGCCCCTGTCTGCCTGACATCTTGTGTACGGGTTTCTGCTGCCATGACTTTGCATGCATTCAAAATCCGGACTCTCCGGGTGAATCCTGGACAGGTGGCAACCCTAGGTTTTATTGTTGTCTGTATTAGGGAGATTCACCCTCTCTATATGTCCTGGTGACTGTTAACACTGAGGGCTTGTTCAGACCAGCAACCACGCTGGTGTGCAAGCGCGTGGGACAGTGTTGATGTGCTCAATTGAGACGCATCACACTGTTTTTATTACATGAAATTCTATGGGCACACCGCGGTGCAATGACCTTGTACCATGCCTCATTGCAAAAAGAGTACAGCATGCTTTTTTAAGCACACACCAGTGCAATGTGGTGGTGTAAAGGGGGGAGAGCACCCCCCTTAAATGATGGCAGATAGCAAATAAGCTAATGCTTCCCTTGCTATCTGCTGTTTTTTTTCCTTATTATTCTGACAGCTGCTGTCAGAATAAATTTAAAAAAATAAAAAGACCCAGCATAGGAATGAATAGCTAGATTGCTATTGGCTATTCCAATTTGCAACAGCCAATAACAAGCTGGCTATTGCACCCACCCTCTGCTGCTGTCAATCAGCAGAGGAGGACCTTATGAAGAACTTCAGGTCCACCTCTGCTGATTGACAGAAGTACTGGGGCGAGTACAATAGCCAGTCTGCTATTGGCTATTGCAAATTGAAATAGCCAATAGCAATCTAGCTATTCATTCCTATGCTGGTGTTTTGTTTTTTTTCTCTGACTGCCGGAGAAAAAAGACTGTTCAATCAAAAGTTCCAACTCGTCGAGATATCCAACGACCTGACTTCCTGTTTAGTTAGAAGTAAGATCTTTGGGTGAGAAGGCTCTACTGCACGTGCGACACCTATGGCATTTCCCTACACACATACTACAGAGCAATAAAGTATTAAAATGAACTAGGGTCAGACTAATCCAGCACGTTATTAATCTGAGTTGCCCCACTCAATATGGCCGCACCCGCCTCCCATCTTCCTGATTGGTCAGGAAGCCAGGCTGCCTAGGAACAAGTGAAGCTGGCTTCCTAGCCAATCAGGGAGGCGGGTCATGACGTGCCACCCAGCTTCCTGATTGGCTAGGAAGCCGGCTTCAGGTGTTGCTAAGCAGCATGGCTTCCTGACCAATCAGGAAGCCGGACGGTACCTCATAACTCGCTGTCCGGCCTCCTGATTGGTCAGGGAGCCTCTGAAGCCGGTGTTCTTTTGCTAGAACACCGGCTTCACAGGGAATCAGGAAGCCGGGTGACGGGTCATGATCCGCCACCCGCCTTCCTGATAATCGGGGCAATAATGCACCGGTATCGGTACTCGGTATCGGCCAGTACCAAAAAAAATATCGATACTCATACTTAAAGGAGAACTATGGGGTCAGTGTTTTTCCCCATAGTTCTCCTTAGGGTAACGGGAGGACACAAACTAGCGCCCTCCCGTTACCCTAAGCTCAGTATACCGCGAGCTAGAGCTCGCGGTATACTGAGACGCCGCAGCCGGAGCGGATCCCGACATGGACGTCGAGATCCGCCTAGCTGCGTGAGTGGCAGCTGGCTCTGCCTATCTAGAGGCAGAGCCAGCTGTACCCGCCCCCTCCCCCGTCCGTTCCGCCAGTCAGCGCTGGCAGATCGGAGCGGGGAGAGGGGAATCCAGCCCCTCCCCCTGTCATGGCAGAGAGCCGTGACAGGATCGAGAGGTGAGCGAACCCGGTATGTGTTCGCTCACCTCCCGATCTACTGAGCCTAGAACTATGAGGTGAGTGGAAATCACTCATCTCATACAGTAGTTCTCCATTAATACTGAAAAACTGGTATCGGTGCATCCCTATATTTCATTTATCAAGTGAAGGCCATGGTGTGGAGCCTGTGATGTCCTTCAGAGTGATGTATATAATTCTGCAGAGAACACCCCAGGACAGAAGGAGAGCCCTGTCACAGGGCCTTTCAACTTAAAGGAGAACTATGAGGTAAGTGATTTTCACTCAACCTCATAGTTCTAGCCGATGTGTGACAATGAGACTGTCACAGGTCGGCTCAATTGATCGGGAAGTGAGCGAACACATACCGTCGCTCACGCACTTCTCGATTATGTCCCTGCAGAGAGCTGTGACTGTCACTCACGGCTCCCTGCAAGGATTCATCCCCTCCCTGCTACAATCCTCCAGCCCTGACTGGCGGAACGGACGGGGGAGGGGGCGGGTACAGCTGGCTCTGCCTCTAGATAGGCAGAGCCAGCTGTCACTCTCGCAGCTGGGCGCATCCAGACATAATTGTCGGGATCCATTTCAGCTACGGCGTCTCAGTATACCACAAGCTATAGCTCGTGGTATACTGAGCTTTGGGTGACGGGAGGACGCTAGTTTGTGTCCTCCCGTTACCCTTAGGAGAACTATGGGGAAAAGCCCTAACCCCATAGTTCTCCTTTAACACCCCATTAACTTTGTTACTTCCAGTGTAATTGGTCTTGATCTCAGGCTACTTAGTCAATTAAGGGTAACTTGGACTTCTAGGTATCATATACATTGATGTCAAATTAGGATAGCCTGCTTAACTAATACCTACAGAATACTCCCAATGCCTGGCACATCATAGACAGGGGCTGATTTACTAATGGAGTATAACAGGTTCAAGTTCATTTTTACTTTGCAAGGAAATTTTCACTTAATGAATGTGGTAAAAGTTCACGTTGCAAAGAATACCCAATAATGTGCAAGATAAACTTTTTAAAAATGGCTTTTTGCTTGCACATGATTAGATGATTAAGTCAGCAGAGTTTCAACTCATTCGTTAAGCTAATGGAAATTTCCCCCGCAAAGTAAAAAGTCACTTTGCTGAGCAAGCAGCCTATACTCCTTTAGTAAACCAACCCCACAGACATAACAGGCACCTAACACTTAGCTTTAGTGCTGCATTAAGTGAATTTCAAGCTGCAGTTTACAACTTAACCTCATAGTTCTAGCTGATGTGTGACAATTAAACTGTCACACGTTGGCTCAATTTATGGGGAAGTGAGCGAACACATACCGTCGCTCACGCACTTCTCGATTATGTCCCTGCAGAGAGCTGTGACTGTCACTCACGGCTCCCTGCAATGATTCACCCCCTACCTGCTCCAATCCTCCAGCGCTGACTGGCGGAACGGACGGGGGAGGGGGCGGATACAGCTGGCTCTGCCTCTAGATAGGCAGAGCCAGCTGTCACTCACGCAGCTGGGTGGATCTCGACAGTAATGTCGGGATCCGTCCCTGCTGCGGCGGTCTCAGTATACCACGAACTGTAGCTCGCTATATACTGAGCTTGGGGTCATGGGAGGATGCTAGTATATGTCCTCCCGTGACCCTTAGGAGAACTATTGGGAAAAACACTTACCCCATAGTTCTCCTTTAATGGGATCGGCTTTATCCTCCTTGCAGCATTTTCTCCCTTATTCAATCTAGTGTATGTAAACCAAACTATTAACTTCTATTGTTAGCTCCCTTTTGGTCTTCTAAATATACAATTTAAGCAAGCGCTTTGTTATATTTATGTAATAAATGTGAATAATACCTGTTTATCCTGCCAGAAAAACTGTGATCTGATCACTTTCTCTGCTCGCTGCCTGTGCTGCATTCTTATCAGTTACATTGTAACATTGCAATCTGTGAGGACTACAAATCACCTCTCTCTATGTTATGGAGAAGAGGAGAGATGGGCGTAGGCACACTCTAATTACCCCAAGCGCAACACCAAAACCGCAACAGCAGGCGCCGTGTTTTTAGTCACTGAGATGGTAGAGAGATAACAATGAGCTTTCTGTGATCTTTGTGTATATACAGTACACAGATTGAACTGGATAGACCTTTGTCTTTATTCAACCTTACATACTATGTTACTATGTTAACATATGTTATGTGTGTTTGTACTTTTGTGCGCCCACCCTAATGCAATAGGCTGCGCACGCCTATGGGTGAGAACGTTATACAGATACAGTAAAATGAGTGGGCACTAGAGTCACCCTAGTACAGGAAGTGTGTTACAGGCACAATCACTAGGTAAAAATGAACAAAAACAGGATGAAAAAAACAAACAAATGAAGCCACCACATCTAGGAACTGGTAAGCTGCAATATTTTAGTTATATTATTGTTCTTGGCTTTAGATAGGCTTTAATATAAATGGAGCTTTACTTGCTTTTAAGTTCCAAAGCACAGGACATTGAAAGCACACTAGTGTGATTTTTTTTTTTAAAGCAGCAGCGTGGTCACAGTTAGAACATACCATAAATGCCCCATAGTTGTAGCTTTACTGACCGAATTGCTCTAGTGCAAATTTTGTTGCATAGGCAAATTGTGCAGTTTACCATTACCACTACCATGACCACTGGCAGTCCTTGCTGACCTTCAAACTTGGCACGTTGAATCCACCATTGCTTTCCATTTGGTCTTGTTGTTTGCCAGGATATTGCTCTGCTTCATGTCACAGTTGTCTGTCATTTTCTAAATGTCATCCACCCATCTTGTTCTTCTTTTCTTTTTACCCTTT